CCCTAATTAGAAAAAAACCAATCTTGCTCTTCGCAGATAGATAAGTGCCCTTCTTCCACTTCAGGAAATCGCCTTTCCCAAATTTTGCTTTTTGAAGCGAATAAGAAAAACAACAGATAAGAAGAGAGGACAGGGAATGACTAGGTAAAGAGAGGGGCTCTTCAATTGTGCGTTACTTTTCCTTCTTGGGGGATGTCCTTTTTTTCTCCCTTGAAGATGCAGAAAACTATCAAAAGGAACACCCGTTCCATCGCCCATTTACTCTTCAATTCCCTTCCTTATCTCCTATGCTTTGTTCTTTAGTCATTGCAACAGGAGAAGACAGGAAAAGGGCTTCCATTCCCCTCTTGTTCTTCCTTTCTTGTGTTTTTGTCATATAAAGGGGAACAGGAGAAAGAGAAGGAGAGAGGAGCGATGAAAGGAACACAATTTTAAGGGGAAGAGCCAAGAAAAGAATGGAAGAGAGATGCATAAAGGAGAGGGAGAGACAAAACAAGTTGCAAAGAAGATGGCGCTCTTCTTAATCCATCCCATCTCCCTTATCTCTCCCTTCCCTTTTTCTTTTCGAAATAAGAAAAACTAAGCAGGAAGAATTATGAAAAGGAGAAGGGTAAGGAAAAGAGCAGAAGAGATAGGCCGAAAAGAGTGATATGATGAAGTATGGCAAGGTCCAGACGCAAGGAGTCACCCTCTGCTTACCCTCCCACTGCCCTTATCATACAAGTTCCTTTCTTGTGGTTTATCAGCTAAACGGAAACAGAAGGAGAGAAAGGAAAGAGAAGTGAGAGAGGAGAGACAACAAGGAGGTCATTTAAATTTTCTGGAAGGGTATTGAAAAGAAGAGAAAAGACAAGAAACAAGGAGACGGATGGCACTGATCTTTATCTATCATCTCTCCCTTGCTTGTCTTTCCCTTTTCCCTCTATAATGAAAAAAAAGGCGCCCTCTCTCGTCTTCAGGAACCCGTTCACTTTTTCCGTTTGGGAACAAGGAAAAGAACAGAGGCGATAGGGCGAGAGGAAGGATTTGCTGAAGCATGGGGAGGGTCTACGGACAAGGAGCCAACCCCGCTCACTTGCCCCATCCATTGTGAAAAGAACAGGGCCTCCATTCCCCTCTTGTTCTTCCTTTCTTGCGTTTTTGTCATTTCAGGGGGAACAGGAGAAGAGAAGGGAAAGAGAAGGAGCGAGGAGAGATAAAAAGAACACAATTTTAATGGGAAGAGCCAAGAAAAGAATAGAAGAGAGATGAATAAAGGAGAGGGAGAGACAAAACAAGGCGCAAAGAAGATGGCACTCTTCTTTATCTATCCTCTCTCCCTTATCTCTGCAAGGAATAGAACAGACAGGAAGCAAAGAGACGGAGTGACAAAACTTGTCGCAAAGCTTTATATATCTCCCTTGTCTCTCCCTAATTAGAAAAAACCAATCTTGCTCTTCACAGATAGATAGGCGCCCTTCTTCCTCTTCAGGAAATCGCCTTTCCTTTATTTGGCTTTTTGAAGCGAATAAGAAAAACAAGAGATAAGAAGAGAGGACAGGGAATGACTAGGTAAAGAGAGGAGCTCTTCAATTTTCCTCCCTATCTCTTATGTTACTTTTCCTCCTTGGGGGATGTCCTTTTTTCTCCCTTGAAGATGCAGAAAACTATCAAAAAGAACACCCGTTCCATCGCCCATATACTCTTCAATTCCCTTCCTTATCTCTTATGCTCTTTTCCTTATTCATTGCAAGAGGAGAAGACAGGAAAAGGGCCTCCATTCCCCTCTTGTTCTTCCTTTCTTGTGTTTTTGTCATGTAAAGGGGAACAGGAGAAGAGAAGGGGAAGAGAAGGAGAGAGGAGCGATGAAAGGAAGACAATTTTAAGGGGAAGAGCCAAGAAAAGAATGGAAGAGAGATGAATAAAGGAGAGGGAGAGACAAAACAAAGCGCAAAGAAGATGGCACTCTTCTTTATCTATCCTCTCTCCCTTATCTCTGCAAGGAATAGAACAGACAGGAAGCAAGGAGACGGAGTGACAAAACTTGTCGCAAAGCTTTATATATCTCCCTTGTCTCTCCCTAATTAGAAAAAACCAATCTTGCTATTCACAGATAGATAGGTGCCCTTCTTTCTCTTCAGGAAATCGCCTTTCCCTTATTTGGCTTTTTGAAGCGAATAAGAAAAACAACAGATAAGAAGAGAGGACAGGGAATGACTAGGTAAAGAGAGGGGCTCTTCAATTGTGCGTTACTTTTCCTTCTTGGGGGATGTCCTTTTTTTCTACCTTGAAGATGCAGAAAACTATCAAAAGGAACACCCGTTCCATCGCCCATTTACTCTTCAGTTCCCTTCCTTATCTCCTATGCTTTTTTCTTTAGTCATTGCAAGAGGAGAAGACAGGAAAAGGGCCTCCATTCCCCTCTTGTTCTTCCTTTCTTGTGTTTTTGTCATATAAAGGGGAACAGGAGAAGAGAAGGGGAAGAGAATGAGAGAGGAGCGATGAAAGGAACACACTTTTAATGGGAAGAGCCAAGAAAAGAATGGAAGAGAGATGAATAAAGGAGAGGGAGAGACAAAACAAGTTGCAAAGAAGACGGCGCTCTTCTTAATCCATCCCCTCTCCCTTATCTCTCCCTTCCCTTTTTCTTTTCGAAATAAGAAAAACTAAGCAGGAAAAGGAGAAGGCTTTCTTGTGGTTTACAGCTAAACGGAAGCAGAAGGAGAGAAGGGAAAGAGAAGTGAGAGAGGAGAGACAACAAGGAGGTCATTTTAATTTTCTGGAAGGGTATTGAAAAAAAGAGAAAAGACAAGAAACAAGGAGACGGATGGCACTCTTCTTTATCTATCATCTCTCCCTTGCTTGTCTTGCCCTTTTGCCTCTATAATGAAAAAAAGGCGCCCTCTCTCGTCTTCAGGAACCCGTTCACTTTTTCCGTTTGGGAACAAGGAAAAGAACAGAGGCGATAGGGCGAGAGGAAGAATTTGCTGAAGCATGGGGAGGGTCTACGGGCAAGGAGCCAACCCCGCTCACTTGCCCCATCCATTGTGAAAAGAACAGGGCCTCCACTCCCCTCTTGTTCTTCCTTTCTTGCGTTTTTGTCATTTAAGGGGGAACAGGAGAAGAGAAGGGAAAGAGAAGGAGCGAGGAGAGATAAAAAGAACACAATTTTAATGGGAAGAGCCAAGAAAAGAATAGAAGATAGATGAATAAAGGAGAGGGAGAGACAAAACAAGGCGCAAAGAAGATGGCACTCTTCTTTATCTATCCTCTCTCCCTTATCGCTGCAAGGAATAGAACAGACAGGAAGCAAGGAGACGGAGTGACAAAACTTGTCGCAAAGCTTTATATATCTCCCTTGTCTCTCCCTAATTAGAAAAAACCAATCTTGCTATTCACAGATAGATAAGTGCCCTTCTTCCTCTTCAGGAAATCGCCTTTCCCTTATTTTGCTTGTTGAAGCGACTAAGAAGAACAACAGATAAGAAGAGAGGACAGGGAATGACTAGGTAAAGAGAGGAGCTCTTCAATTTTCCTCCCTATCTCTTATGTTACTTTTCCTCCTTGGGGGATGTCCTTTTTTCTCCCTTGAAGATGCAGAAAACTCTCAAAAGAAACGCCCGTTCCATCGCCCATTTACTCTTCAATTCCCTTCCTTATCTCCTATGCTCTTTTCCTTATTCATTGCAACAGGAGAAGACAGGAAAAGGGCTTCCATTCCCCTCGTGTTCTTCCTTTCTTGTGTTTTTTGTCATATAAAGGGGAACAGGAGAAGAGAAGGGAAAGAGAAGGAGAGATGAGCGATAAAAAGAACACAATTTTAATGGGAAGAGCCAAGAAAAGAATGGAAGAGAGATGAATAAAGGAGAGGGAGAGACAAAACAAGGAGCAAAGAAGATGGCACTCTTCTTTATCTATCCTCTTTCCCTTATCTCTGCAAGGAATAGAACAGACAGGAAGCA